TCACCCTCCTCCTCCTCCTCCTCCCACTCACCCTCCTCCTCCTCCTCCTCCCACTCACCCTCCTCCTCCTCCTCCTCCCACTCACCCTCCTCCTCCTCCTCCTCCCACTCACCCTCCTCCTCCTCCTCCTCCTCCCACTCGCCCTCCTCCTCCTCCTCCTCCCACTCACCCTCCTCCTCCTCCTCCTCCTCCTCCCACTCACCCTCCTCCTCCTCCTCCTCCCACTCACCCTCCTCCTCCTCCTCCTCCCACTCACCCTCCTCCTCCTCCTCCTCCTCCTCCCACTCACCCTCCTCCTCCTCCTCCTCCTCCCACTCACCCTCCTCCTCCTCCTCCTCCTCCTCCCACTCACCCTCCTCCTCCTCCTCCCACTCACCCTCCTCCTCCTCCTCCCACTCACCCTCCTCCTCCTCCTCCCACTCACCCTCCTCCTCCTCCTCCTCCCACTCACCCTCCTCCTCCTCCTCCTCCTCCTCCTCCTCCTCCTCCTCCTCCCACTCACCCTCCTCCTCCTCCTCCTCCTCCCACTCACCCTCCTCCTCCTCCTCCTCCTCCCACTCACCCTCCTCCTCCTCCTCCCACTCACCCTCCTCCTCCTCCTCCTCCTCCCACTCACCCTCCTCCTCCTCCTCCCACTCACCCTCCTCCTCCTCCTCCCACTCACCCTCCTCCTCCTCCTCCTCCTCCCACTCACCCTCCTCCTCCTCCTCCCACTCCCCCCCTCCTCCTCCTCCTCCCACTCACCCCCTCCTCCTCCTCCTCCTCCTCCTCCCACTCACCCCCTCCTCCTCCTCCTCCTCCCACTCACCCCCCTCCTCCTCCTCCTCCTCCTCCCACTCACCCCCCTCCTCCTCCTCCCCCTCCTCCCACTTACCCTCCTCCTCCTCCCACTTACCCTCCTCCTCCTCCCACTTACCCTCCTCCTCCTCCCACTTACCCTCCTCCTCCTCCCACTCACCCTCCTCCTCCTCCTCCTCCTCCTCCTCCTCCTCCCACTCACCCTCCTCCTCCTCCTCCTCCTCCCACTCACCCTCCTCCTCCTCCTCCTCCTCCCACTCACCCTCCTCCTCCTCCTCCTCCTCCCACTCACCCCTCCTCCTCCTCCTCCCACTCACCCTCCTCCTCCTCCTCCTCCCACTCACCCTCCTCCTTCTCCTCCTCCTCCTCCCACTCACCCTCCTCCTCCTCCCACTCACCCCCTCCTCCTCCTCCTCCTCCTCCTCCTCCCACTCACCCTCCTCCTCCTCTCACTCACCCCCTCCTCCTCCTCCTCCTCCTCTCCCACTTACCCTCCTCCTCCTCCCACTTCACCCCTCCTCCTCCTCCTTCCTCCTCCCACTCACCCCCTCCTCCTCCTCCTCCTCCTCCTCCCACTCACCCCCCTCCTCCTCCTCCTCCTCCTCCCACTTACCCCCTCCTCCTCCTCCCCCTCCTCCCACTTACCCTCCTCCTCCTCCCCCTCCTCCCACTTACCCTCCTCCTCCTCCCACTTACCCTCCTCCTCCTCCCACTTACCCTCCTCCTCCTCCTCCCTCTCCCACTCTTCTTCCTTCCCCTTCTCCCACACCTCCTGCTCCCACTCCTCCTCCCCCTTCCCCTTCTCCCACTCTTCCTTCTCTCCCTCCCTCCCCACCTCCCCCCTACTTGTCTTTTCTTCCTTTCCTAAATGAAGAGGCGATGGGAAGAGAGTTACGGGCACACCCAATCTTTTCTCACCATTGTTTGTAAATCTCCAAATACCAACACCTTGTGCTGTGTCAGTCGCCGTTTGTCAGGTGTCGGGTAATCTGTGCGTCTTGTCAAAGGAGAGAAAAAGAATGAAAGACAGAAAAGTTCATGCAAGAATTGTTCAGTATATGGTAAAAGCATTCCAAGAACCTGTTTTTTTCTTGTGTGTGTGGTTTTGTTTGTTTGAACATGAGTGTGCAAGGATGTATGCATTTGCAGCTGCAGTTTCTTATGATGAGTTTGATATCAGAAGCTCTGGTGTAATAAAATGTTGCACTGTTTACGCAAGGCTTTGTTGGAATGTAGTTGTTTGTTTGTTTTTTTGTTTTAGTCTTCATTTTAGTGCTCTTTTGTTTGCTTCTTTCCTTATTTCCTAGTATGATTAATCTCTCCATGATAATCTTGTGTCTTGTGTCAGTTGGCAAAGGTTTCTTTCCTTCTTTTCCTTGTCTTTACAAATTTGTGGACATTCGAAGCATCAGGAAATTTATTAGGATGCTGCATACTTGCAAGGCAGTATATTGATTATCCATTGCAGGCCAGAAGCAGTGGAGTAAGTTTTTCTTGATCATTATTATTTTTTCTCATTACTTTTTATCTTCTTCACCACCACACTAAGAGATCCATAGCAGCTGGGAATCATTATATTTAGTCTAGTCTTTAAGAGTTAGAAATGCAAGTCCTCACTCAGACTGCAAAGCCTAAGAGGGTTCAGTGGCCGGCTTTGGTGGAATGTTGAAATAATAATTATGCGTTGTTGGCTGATGATGTTCCTTCTGTTCAACTGTTTTTGTTTTTACTTGTAAGATGGTCTTGTTTAGATTGCTTTTTTTTTCATGTCTTAAGCCCATTTTTGCCTTAGCCTCATCCTCCTTATCCTCTTCTTCCCTCTTCCTCATTTAAGTTGACCTTTTGCTATTTGGTAGCAGTGTGTAATTCTAAACACACACACACACACACACACACACACACACACACACACACACACACACACACACACACACACACACACACGAGTACAGTAAGCACACATTTGCTTCCTATGCACAAGCAAACAAGGAATCACATGGACTTTACATCCTGAAGTGGAACCTGAATTCCTCTTTTTTTTTCTTTTTTCTTTTTTTTTTTTCCTCTCTGTCTCTATCTTTTTTCCCCAAAACTGTTACAGTCTGGGAATCCCTAATATCCCCAAGGCACTTCCCTCTTTATGCTAAGGTCTGATTGGAATTTGTGATGAAGCTCAAATCCTTCACTGAGGTCCATGGTGAGGGAACTCTTTGTCTCGTCTTTTGGGGTCGGCAATTTCTTTTTGTGTGTGTGTTAAAGGAAAGCATATTGGGTTACATTTGCATTCTTGCTTGGATGTGTGCTCTTCTGTGATTATTCTGAGTAGATGATTGTAGTGTTATGTAGTTATTAATAATAAAAGGGTCATAAGTTTGAATTGCTTATTTAGTAGTTTGTTTATGATTATGCTAAAATTCTTTCAGTATGAAATAAACAATATTACTATTCTCTTCCAGGCGTGAGGCAGAAGTTCGGGAAAAGGAACGACTTGCCAAGGAGAAAATGGAGCGTGAAAAAACAGAGAGGGAGCGGAGAGAAAGAGAGGAGCGGGAGAGGGAGAGGAGAGAGAAGGAGAGACGAGAACAGGAGGAGAAGGAGCGTCAGCAGTACCAGGTGGACCAGCATTTCAACAAGACTTTCCGCCTGGCCCAGCACAAGGTAAATGTTCAACACCACCTGGCTAGTGTTGTTTGTCAAAGCCACACTCATCTGTGGCTTATTGCAAATGGTAGAAAAGCCATTGAAGGTATAAAGGAAGGGGTTGAAAGGAAGGGATTGATGAGAAGGTAAGAGGAGAGACTGGGTTTATGTGATGCAGCCATTGATGGAATCAGTTGTAAAGACAGGTTAGTAAGCTAGTAAGCAGCACTTTGGACACACAGAAAGCACTTGGTCAAAAAGTTCAAGTAACAGTTATCTTAATAGTAATCAGGAGAGAATGGTAAGGAGACTGCAAAAGCAAAAGGAAGACATCAATACATCATTGTTAATATTTGGTATATTCAACCAACAGAGATGATGAACAGTTACTCAAGTTTACCAACCAGTAAATGCACTGATGGATGAACTATTGAATGTGATAGGATGGCCGCAGGCAGTTGTGGGTGTTGAGTTAGGAAGAACTGGGTGTGGTCGCGTTCTGATGGGACAAGAAGGCAAAAAGTTGTTTTAGTGAGAGAAAGTGGTCCAGCACAGAGATGGGTCGAATGAAATTTATTCCTTTTAATTTCAGTAGTATTTTCTTCTCATTCTCTGATATTCAGTTTATTTTACATAGTTTACATAGTTTTCTGATATTGAGGAAAGATAGCATTTGAGACACATGCATGGGCAAAGTAGGAAGCATCTAACTTGTTCAGAACTGGAGAAATACTTTGTAAGGTCTGATATATGCTAGATACAGATAATGTTGAATGTTGGATAATGGGACCACAATTTGGGTCAGGTTGAAGTCTGGTATTTTGGCATACAAAACTAGGAAGGTGACTGGTTACACTAGGAGGTCAAACAGGCATTGTTAGAGTGAGGTTAACCAGATTGTTTGAATACTGTGTGAAATGATACACATCGGATTTTGAAATCTGTACTTTTAGGAAAGGAAGATGAAAATTTAAATTCATTTTGGTAAAACATATGGGAAATATAGGATTAGCATAATCTCTTAATTGCTCTTTGCATTTTAGGACTGGTAGATTGGCAAAGTATTTTTAAGGATTTAATTTTATGTTTTTGAGAGAAATAGAATCATAGACACAGACCAAGAACGGGTAAGACTGACAGACACATTGATACACATTTAATTTTTAAGGCTTAACTTTTTTAAGTGATTATTATAACCTATGTAAAAGGAGATTGGCACTGTTTAATGGTTGTTCAGCAAAGTGCTTGTAATATCTTCAATTATAAATAAGTAAGCTATTGCAATGATCTGAATATATTTATAGCTAGTAAGGAACTGTCCTAAAAGCTAAGAGAGAAGATCAACAATGCGTGCTGTGTATTTGTAAAGAAAATATTTTGGTTTAAGACCTAGACCTGAGTTAAATTGACTAGTGTTGATAATCACCAGAATCCTCCAGATGCGCATTGTGTCAGTTGTGTTACATAATTGACTAAACAGGGGCTTCAGGGAAAGAGATGAGACAAATATTATTTTGTGTGTGCTTCATGAAATTTTAAAGAGCTTCAGATGTTAGTCTTTATATTCTTGACACAAATGCCATGTAAACCAAATTTTCTGAGCACATATGTGGAATATCTTGAATATAGCTTGAACTCTGACAGAGAAACTATGACAGTACAGTACATGTGCTTGACATGGACAACCTTAGAGCTTGGTTAAATAGGATGTTTAATTTTCATTTTAGATATCTGTGGGGCACTTTGCCGTGTGTTTTATTAATTTGACTTCGTATGTATATTGTGAGGATTCACACACTGAAAATCGTCAGTATTAAGTTTACACAAGACCTCATACTTTTCCTGTCCTTTTGGCATACAAATACCTTTTTGCTCATTAAGGTAATGAAGGCTTGCATGGCACCCCTCTCTACCTTTGTAGTACCTCTTGTGAATGTCCCCAGCAATCTATAAGGGGACATAAATGGCAGTCATGATTCAAGACAAAATTGCTCTGATATTTCCCCCTCTTCTTTCTCCTGCTCCTCCACCTTCCATTATTCCTTTTCACTTTTATCTATTCATTCATTCCATCTTTTCTAGTGCATCAGTCTTAGATCTCATCTTTTTCCCTTTCTTTACCATTTTTGAAAATTCCTTAGGTACGTGTCATATTTAAAAATCCTCAAGCCATAGAAATTCTGTCTTTGTTAGAAAGGAGAAGATATAACCCACTTGATTCCCACAAGAGCCCCCTTGCTTATCCATGTGTTTTGATTACCTCCTTGTTAAGAAATTTACCTTCAATTTGCTTTTTTGTGTTCTTTTTTTTGTGTGTGTGTGTATGTAACATGAATCTTTAAATTATTTGATCATGAGTGTAGAAATTATCCAGACTGTTCCTGCACTTCCTGGAGACCAGCAATTGTCAAATGTTTTTTCCGTGTACTGATGATGTTGTAATAGGCTGAGTTACATCCTTTTAGAAATTTTATTTTTCAAGTAAATTCTTTTTCAGTGGTGGTTTGTTGTAAGGTTAAATTCATAAAAATCAGTTAATGTTTTTATGTTCTCTATTTCTATTTTTTCGTGTTTTTCCTCTTTCTTACCCCAAGGGCAAAGATGATCTCACATGTTCCTACTTATTTCAGAATTGTCCGACTTCAAATTGAGGAAACTGAAGCCTATTTTCATGTACCTTTGAATTTTACATTTTCCATATCTTTCTGTGATGATCTCATATTTTTTTATTTTATTATTCATGATTATTATTATTTTACCATAAGCTTAGTACATGTTGATTTCATTCTGCTGGATGAGATGGCTGTAGGCTTTAGTGGGTGGGGAGACATGTCTGATGGGGTATATGGTCTATTGTAGCACGGTGGAGAGACTGTCCGCCACATGCCAGCCGAGAACCTCAACCAGGCCTATTACGTCCACGGCTTGACCAACCACCACCATCCCTCCAACCACCCATCTCACAACCACCCCCTTCTCATGACACCACACAGTAAAGCCTACCAGGCCCAAGCGCACGCCCAGGTACGGACGACCGCATCACGTGATAACTCCACACTGGCTGCTCATAGTGTTAGTACCTCGTCCAAATGAATGAACATTGTTATTTGATTGCTCTGTAAGTGATAAGGAAAAGAACTCCCTCACAGCCACAGTCAATGGCTGTATGTGACCACTGCTCAGGCCAGGATAAAGAGTAGGGCTGTCTGTCAGGCTGAAGCTTGTGTGGTTTTGTTATTATAATCATTGTGTGTAATGTAGAAGGGGAAACAGGAAGCATGAAAAGTTGCATGCGAAAGTTTATTTGTTTAAGTGAAAGGGAAAGTGAATTGATGACCTAAAGTAAGAATAATGTATAATGACAAAAAATGAATGATAAGGTTCAATCGGGACAGCTCCTACCCGTGAGGGTTGTGCAATTATTCTAGGCCTGGCTTGTAGCCTTTGCCTCTGTGTGGCTGCCACATTGTCATGGATGGTTTTATTATGGTGTACAGAGTTTCATGATAGGGACCTGCTTTTTGTGTGAGATGTTTTACTGTCAGAGCTTTATTTTTTTCATAATTTCTCTCTCTATTCTCTATGGTTGTTGTTTAAATTCAATGTCAGGAAGTTGCTCCTTATACTTATTTCATCTCTTTAGAGACTGTTTTGTTACAATTTTCATGGAAAGAAATCTGTTAACTTTATCAAAATTAAATATCAGTACTTTTTATTTATATATTGAAGTGGGATTCACTCACTTCTAGCTTGCTATATGAACTTTTCCTACTTAACTACCCAGAAATACATGATACTGAAGTCTTCTTTAAAAAGAAAAATTGAATGAAGCCAGGTTTTTCTATGCTTATATCTCATTATTGTAATTTCAGAAGGTTGGTGGATGGAATAATCTGTCTAGTTTGGTCAAAACGGAACGAATAGATGCAATGGAGGATCGACATCTTTTGGAGCAACAGCAGCAGCAGCAACAGCAACAGCTACAGCAGCGTCAGGAAGAAGCCATACGCCGTGCACATGAGCCAGAGAAGATGGTGCAGGAAAGTATATACAAAGCTTTCCGTAAAACAGATAGGGATAGGGGTCCTCCACCAGCACACTCCAGTAAACCTTCAGAGAAGCCTGCGGTTTCCTCGGGGTTGCCCAAAATTGCTGAACCAAACTTCAACTTGGCCACCTATCCACCAAATTACCTAGCCAAAGAGGCCAAACTTCCCCACACTGAGAGGGTCCCCTACCTGCGCTACGCTGACCCACGGGACAAGACATCAGTCATCATCCAGCCAGAGAACAAGTATGAAAAAGCCCCTCCACATTCTATAAGTCCCAAGCAGCGGCCCCCAGAAAGGTCTAGTCCATACCCACCTGGTTCAGCGTACAAACCACATGAACCATCTCCCTCCTTACACAGAAGTAGCACCTCGCATCATCAGAATACTTTGCCCCACAGTGTGGAGTTGACCAAAGCTAGACAACCACAGTCTTCTCCGCACTCCACACCTTCACCAGCACATCCTGACCGATACTATTCCTCAGGGGTAAAACCCCCTCCTCCCACCACTTACCCTCCTAATTTTATAACCGCTGGGCTGGTTCCCAATCCATTACATGTAGCGTCAGTTTCTGCTAAGTCGAAGGTGAGCTCTCCGCCGCCTCAAATCTACGGCAAGCCTGGCATAACCACAGGTACTCCAGTGTGCCGTCCTGATTCCAGACCTCCACAACCTCTGCCCCTTACCAGCAAAGCCAGTGGTGTGGGAGGACCACCTCCAGCTCATTCGGGTAGAGGGGTACTTCCTGAATCAAGGCCTCCAATGCCACCACATGAACAGCGGCCACCCATGGAAAGAAGCCCATATGATGCTCGCATCTATCCGCCCACAGTACCGTCTCCACACCATAAACATGTGGTAGCTCCAGGTCCACCACCACCTGCAAGGATAACTCCAGTTTCTTCTCCCCATGTGGCAACACCTCACATTCCCCAACACCCGTCCCCACAACCAACACAGACACAGCCTCTGGATCTGGGCACCCGTGAGGATGCTGCATCTCCCAGCAAGAGACGAACTCAAACTCCAACACCTCAAGATCCAAAGAAACCCAGATTTGAAAGTACAGCTAACCAGCCACTGTTGTCTCGTGTATCAGAACCAAGCCCTCTGTATCCAACTGCTGCTACTACGATTACCACTGTAGAGAACACCGTAGCTCTTGCAGCCAACCTGTCTCGTGTTGCAAGTCCAGCTTCACGCCCGCCGAGCCAACCTCCAGCTGCTACAACCCCAACTCTTCAACGTGCTGAAAACAGCTCATCGCCAGGGGCAAACAAGATGACAGAACCAGAGAAATCCAATAGTCCAGGTCCTGCTGGGGGTTATGTGCACAAGCTTAAGAAAGCATGGCTTCAGCGACATGAGAGTGGTGTTGAAATCATCCCACCAACAACCACCAATAGTTCAGGCTCACTCTCGGTTAGAGTAGCTACACCACCTCCTCCTCCGGCCAGCAGTACCCCCACTTCCTCTAAGCCTACATCAACAATTACTACAGCTGTCAAGTCTGAGCCAAAAGTAGTTGTACGTAAGCCAAAAGTTGTGAATAGTATACCGAACAGTATACCTAATGGGCATAGCCAAGATATCAAAGATGGGGACTCAAGCTCAACGGACTCTGAAGGGAGTACTACTCAAAAGCCAAAGCGAGGCAAAGGCAAAAGAAAATTGAAAAGAATGAAAAAAAGTAGTGATAGTAATAGTGAGAGTGAGAAAGACAGTGATGCGAGTGAAGAGACAAACCTCAAGAAATCGGGGAGAATACCTTCCAAACCTGATTCTGAACCCAAGAAAAGAGGGAGAAAACCCAAGTCGAAGCCAGACAAAGACAAGGAAGAAGGCCCAAAGCCAAAAAAGTCCAAAGAGGAACCCCCACAAAATGACCCTCTGCAGAAACCCCCAGTATCTCAGCTCAAGAAAACAGGAGAGAGCTTCTTGCAAGATGGGTCATGTTATGAGGTGGCTCCAAAACTACCTAAGTGTCGAGAGTGCCGTTGGACAGCCCACCAGAGGAACAAGAAGATGCCCAACATCTTCTGCCGTTTCTACGCCTTCCGACGACTCCGTTACACCAAGAATGGGCAACTGGCAGTTGCTGGGTTTTCAGACCCCATAAAAGACGTGTCGGTGGATGACCTAAAACTGTGGGTGCCAGACAGTGATAATCCTCCTGAGGACTTGGATGAAGAAACAAGTCTGTTTTTATTGACCCATGTAGGGGATCAGTTCTGTGACCTGGTGGAGCAGGAGAAGGAAGCAATGGCACTCCATATGGGTGATGGTAAGTGTTGATTTCATTGACATTTTTTATATTAGAAATTGCATACAGGATTTTACATACAACAAAACATTAGTTTAGAAGTGATATTGATTTTTGAAATAATATGCTTTTCCACATATTTTTAAACTTTTGATCTTGGGTTTCAGAGACTGTAGTGGCTTGGAAGCGAGTGGTGCAGGGAGTTCGGGAGATGTGTGATGTGTGTGAAACTACTTTGTTCAACATCCATTGGGCGTGTAGCAAGTGTGGTTTTGTGGTCTGTATAGATTGCTACAAAGGACGCAAGAACGGAACAGTGAAGGTGTGGGATGAGGGCGGTAAAGACCGTGATGAATACTCGTGGTTACTGTGTGCATCTAGACTCCCGCACGAGCAGGACAAACTCATGCTTACTCAGATAATCTCGGGGAATGCGCTCCTTGAGCTGGGGGGGAAAGTGCATGAAGTGAGACACAAATGGAACATCCCTCAGTACTGTGAATGCCCTGAGGCTAAAAAGTACAAAGAACAAGCATCCCAAGACGATAAGAAGAAGCTCAATGGAGTGAATAAAGATCTGCTCAAAAACATAAAGAAAGACCCTAGTAAAAGTGAATTGGTGAATGGAACGGTGAAGCAGGAGAAGACCGAGAAAATGAATGGCAAAGATGAAGAGATGTCCAACTCTCCACTGAACTTCTTTGCTGATGTTGCACTCTCCAGTGACAAGAGAGACAGTGAGGTAAGTGTAAGGAGAGATAATGTGAGTCTTCCCCTCCCTCTCTTTTTGCCTCTTAAAATATGTCACTACTGACAAAGACCAGTAGATAAACAAGCAACTAGCCAAAGTCGTTAAAGAAGAGTGTATTAGAGCAACTTTAAAAATAGATATCTCACACCTGTTACCTTGTTCATGCAAGAATTATTGTGTAAAGGCAATGTTGAGAACTCTGAATGTGAAATACAGAATTTGGTCAGTTTATAGGTGAATAAGATATTTATTTGTAGAAACACTTGTTTCACTCCTTTATAATTTACTTATTTGGTGAACTTTATTGCAACAAAACAAACTAGATAATTTGTGATAATTTTCTGACTTTTAGTATATATTTGCAATGGTTGGATATATGTGCCAGTTGTAATGAAAATTGAAAAGTATTATCAATTATTCATATTAGAGGAAGAGGGGAAGTTTGTGTTGTTTTATTTAGCTTGTTGGTGAATAAAATAGGACCAGGTAATGGTCAGGTATATCAATTAGTCTTGCCTCTTTTGTTTAGGTTTGGAGCTAGTTTCTTTCTCAGAATGAAACTTTATACAGTTTAAGGGCAGTATGGTAAATGTCAGAACAATTGGGTGTAAATGTCATTAGCTGATAATGCTATTATGTACATTGGCAGTTCCACTTTTTCCTTTTTTTCTTTCTTCCATTATTTTATGTGATAGTATCTATAGGGCTTACTTTAATTTTACTGCAGTATATTATCATTGTATTATTTATGTCTTGGCTATGAGTTTGATGTCTCTTCTCCCATCCTAAGTTTCTTGAATGGTTTGCTTGTTTCTTGCAGAGTTCTGACTCGGATTCAGACTCCGACTCAGATGACAAGGAGGGCAATTTCTCAACCCTGCGAGAGCTGCTGATCAGGCCCAATGCACGGCCCAATGGAGGCACGAAGGATGAAAACACACCTCCTACAAAGTCCAGCAAAGAGACCAGTAAGAAGAAGCCCAAGCTGGACACCGTGGATGAAGTCATCTCCTGCGTGATTGACAACACATCGGACAAGGAGGACACGAAGGATAATGACCCGATGGTGCTCAAACATTTTGTCCGAAAGTAAGTGGTTGCTTTCCCAGTGTGATATGGCTGTTAATTGCAGATGGGATGGTTATTGTTAAAGTATTTTCTTAGTTTTCTTATGAGTCATAACCTTTGTAATTTAGTTAGATAACTTTGATCCATAAGTTGACTCAGCTCAATATATATTTTATCCTTGTACAAGTTCATTGTAGTAATATTAATCGTGATTCTTCTCTTCAGGTACAACTACACTCCTCGAGGGCGTGAGCCACTTCCAATCAGGATAATGACCAAGACTGAGAGCAGCACCTTGTATCCTGGTGTGGCGCACTCCTGGCTCTGTGATGGCAAGCTGCTGCGGTTACAAGATCCCCTTGCACCCTCCAACACACTCATCTTCCAGGATCAGTGGAAGCGGGGACAGCCTGTCATCATATCTGGTGTTGGGCAGAAGCTCTCCTCTGAGCTGTGGAAACCAGCTGCATTCTCAAAGGACTTTGGAGACATCAAGAATGATCTAATCAACTGTCTCACAGGTAACATTGTTCCCAACCAACCTATGAAGAAATTCTGGGAAGGTTTTGAGAACTATGGCAAGAGACTGAAGGATGAGAAGGGCCAACCCATGGTGCTGAAGCTGAAGGATTGGCCTCCAGGGGATGACTTTGCAGAAATGCTGCCCTCAAGATTTGAAGATCTGATGACTGTTCTACCAATGGGAGAATATACGAGAAGAAATGGCCGCTTAAATCTTGCTGGCCGTCTCCCAGAGTGCTTCGTCCGGCCTGACCTGGGTCCAAAAATGTATATTGCTTATGGTTCGGCCATGCACCCAAGCAGAGCTTCCACAAATCTTCATTTGGATATCTCTGATGCTGTTAATGTCATGTGTTATGTTGGTGTTCCTAAAGATGCTGATTATGAAGATCATATAAAAGGTAAGTTCCTTGTACATGTTTATGCAAGGTTGAGTTGAACTGTATAGATAAGTTTCTTAAACTTTAGTTCACTCTAATAGTGCAGATTTTATATATATGTGTTTTTTTTTTAAACTTGCAGCAGCTCTAAAGGCCATCGATGAGGCTGGCTGTGATGTCCTTACCCGTCGAAGAGTGCGGGAGAAGGAAGAAGTACCAGGAGCGCTGTGGCACATCTACCATGCCAGAGACGCTGACAAGATTCGCGACTTGCTCAATAAAGTGGCCATAGAACGCGGGGATAAGCTGGAGCCTCACCACGACCCCATTCATGACCAGTCTTGGTACCTGGACGGTCCTCTGCGAGAGAGACTGTACAAGGAATATGGCGTGGAGGGTTACGCCATTATCCAGTGTCTGGGAGATGCTGTCTTCATCCCAGCAGGGGCTCCTCATCAGGTAATGATGTTAATGCATATATTTTTTATTTGTAAATTTTCTACTATTTTATAAGTCTTTTGTGCTAAAATTATATTTGAAGCCAAAATATTGTGTATCTGCACTTATTTATCATTAACCAAAGAAACAAGGTTTTAAGTGGTTTGGCAGTCCTGTCTTCAAATAAGTTAAAATTACTGCTCCAGTTTTGCATATTTTTTGTTTCATTGCTTGAGAGTTTCACAGATTGCGATTGCCTTCACAATTCTAAAGCAGGGAATCAATACCTTCTCCTTCTCTTTCTAGGTTCGTAATCTGCACAATTGTGTAAAGGTTGCTGAGGATTTCGTCTCTCCGGAAAACATCTCGTACTGCTTCCACTTAACACAAGAATTCCGGCACCTGAGCGACACTCACACCAACCATGAGGACAAACTCCAGATTAAAAATATTATCTACCACGACATGAAAGACTCCATAGCCTGCCTGCTATCGGCAAGCAAGAAAATAGAGGCTACAAATTCTGAAGTGAAGGAAGACCCAGAGAAAAAAATAAAGAAGGAAAGCGATTCATGAAATTAGCTCAAGTGACTAGTAGTTCATATCAGTGAAAACCTTGATGCTGTGTGTTGAAAGTGTTATTCTTTGCAACTCTTGGAAATATTATGTTGGAGCAAAGTGTGCATGAAAAAGCAGAGGTAAAGACATTAGTGTGTGAACAGACACGTGAAATGACTAAAGAACCATTGTAGCGAACTGACATTCAATGGTGTCAAAAACATTTTTTATACAAAATGGTTTTCCTATAATGAGTGCAAATAATCAATTCCACTTTCGATTTATAGCAAAGCTGTATTATTGATCTGTGTGGAACACAAAGTCCAGTTCATTTTGATGTTTATTAACAAAGACAGTAATATAAGTAGAAATGGTGTAATTATTTATTAATCCAATATGATGTACTAATCACCATGGACCTTACTATTAAGGACCCACATAATCTCTATGTATCCACGGTGTACTTAAACCAGTGATGCCACATAGAGTGCACAGTATTTTGTGCACAGTGTGAGTTGAAGACTCCGACCGGAGCATCCCCACAGCTTAGGGTATGCACTTCGATTACTGGTGTTAGGTGTTGACAAGCCCAGCTGGGACTGCCAAGTGCAACAAGTGGTTTAGTTGAGATACCCTCAAGTACCAAAAGGACGGGGAACCCCAGTTGTGGCCAAGCAACTACTCCCCTCCCTGCCCCTTCCACCTTCCCTCTCCACTTCCTACTCTCATCTTTTGATCTCTGACTCGGAGTGTATCCTGGTAGCAATCTCTTTGATCTGTTTGTTGCACACGTGTACACATGGACACCGATGAAAACTTTAAAATAAAATAAAAAGAAAGCAGGGGCTCTTCTTCCCCCACGCTGGCTGGGGGCCTTGATTATTATATATTCTGCCCAGCTGAAGGTTGGTAGTGCGGCGGTGGAGCAGAGGGAGGCGGGACAGACACGAGCAGGAGGGGAGACTTGGCCATGCCCTTCAGAGTGTGACAGTGATCAGCCTCTACAACGATCCTCCAACCAAGCTGCTGCTGCTGCCACCACCGCCACCTTTCCTCCCTCCCTCCCAGTATCCTCCCCTCCCCTCCCCCCTCTTTCCCTGCCCACTCTCCACCACCGTCATTTTGTACATTGATCTCATTGTTGGTGTAAATGTGAGTAGTGTTGAGGGATGGATGTTTCTTGTAGTGTGTTTCTCACATGTCATGTTGTTATATTTGTTTAATATTGAAGCCTGTGTTTTCTTTGAGAAATTTACAAAACACAAGTGATAGGCATGTTGTTGCCATTGATCTTTCTTTTTATTATAAAATTAACACTCAAAAGAGATGAGAAATAATTTATTTGCTTGTCAATCGTGGGCGGATGTAGAAATGTACATTGATGTAGGCGTGTAGTGAGCGAGGGGTTCAGCCAAGCCCTGACGACCCCTCTCCCCAGCCTCATCAGGAGGACGCAACTGTACTACTTTTTTGTACTGTCAATATGTAAACAGATCACAATTTGAATAGGAAAAATGATGCCATGAACAA